GAACCGCGGTCCCTGTGCTTTGCCAAGCTTGTTTCAAGTAGGTGCTTTAGACCACTGAGCCATCTCTCCAGCCCCCCTCTTTATTTTAGTAAGGTTAGTACTGGACTAATAATCAGAAAAAAATAAGTGAAAATACATTTGGAAGTTGGGAACTTTGAATCTCTCTTCATATTGTGATCAAGGTAGAAAAACAGGCCACATAAATTATAGTAATAGTTATTACTTGTATACAACATTCTTTCTTACACTCTTCCCTAGCATTTATTGAATTATTCAACAGCTACAACAACCCTACAACATAATTACTATTATTATACATACCTTACAGATAGGAAAACTAATGCATAGATACATTAGGTAATTTGTTGTAGGCTATGTAAGTAGTAACTGACAGAGCCTGACAGTAGAATTCTGCTCTTAAACATTCTCCATGACATCTCCCTTAGTTAATTTGAAACTGGCACAATGTGAGAGATATTTTTCTTCCCATTTTTGTGGGTGATGTGAGACTGGAAGCAAGAGCACATACCCTTCACCCTCCTGCCAGCACCTGGCATGGCTGAGGCTAGACAAAAGATAGTATTACTTTACCGATTCATTATCCAAAATATTAAGGGACAGATAAATAGAATGTTACAAGATACAGTTCTGTAGGACAATAACTTGTATTTCAGTCCAAACTTCCAATAACAGCACTAGCACATGTTTAGCAAAAATCTGTTAAAAGAATACGTAATTGAATGATAGAATAGGGAGAATTTGTGAAAAAAGAGGACTTCAACCAAAAACAAAATACGAATTTAACAACTGAACAGTTCTATCACAGCAAGAAAGTTCTACTGAAAATTCAATTTATATTAGACAAAATAACTTAATGCAGGGAATTCAGTACATAAGAAGAACCAAGAGGCCAAAGCAAGGGTTATATGGCAATCCAGCAAAAAGCCATTACCATCTCTAAGCCACAGGGCCAAAATTCATTACCATCTCAAAAACTCAAGGTCACCTGGCAAAAGCTGAAAGCAAGGCAAGTGTTGTTGGTAGAAGTGGGAAACAAGAATGAGAAGCAGCCTGTTTTCTATAAATACACTGTGATATAAAAGCAGGGTAATGGGAGAGATGCTCAAATTTCTGTCCTTCATCTACTCTTCACTCTGCTGCCAGCACCTGGCTGGCCTGGTTGAGGCTGGACAAAAGACAGGTGGTAAAAGAGCCTTGAAGATGTAGCCTGTAGGGTTCCAATCCCTGTTAAAATGGGCAGGGCTGAGAAGTCTATGGTCAAACAGGCCATGGCCTGGTACAGGTGCCCACTGTTTTTCTCACATGGCAGGAGGGCAAGGAGCACTTGCAGTCTCTTGTATAAAGCCCTCCCTCTCCTGACAGCCCCTTCTTCATGACCTACTCACTTCCATATACCATCACAATGGGTTTATGTTCCAACATATGAATTTGAAGGGACATAATCATTCAATCTGTGGATAGTATTAATAAGAAATCTAGGAGAAAAAAAGCCTACTAATACCCAATATGTGGCAAGTGTCTAACCAGGTGTGGTGATAGCACATGCCTGTTAGGATATCCCAATACCCTATGAGCCAGAAGCAGGAGGATCACGTGTTTGAGCCCAGCCTGGACAATTCAGTGACATAGCAAGATCTTGCCTCAAAATAAAAAATAAAAAGGCTGGGCATGTAATTCAGTGTGAAGGCACCAAGTTCAAAAAGAAATTAAAAAGTCCAATCTCTTCAGTAATTAAATATAAAGAAAATTAACATAGAGATAATATTAAATTTATAGTTAGTAATTTCAATGCCTAATGCTGATAAAGAGCATGACAAAAATAGACGCATTCATATAGTCCTGGGCAGGAAATAAATTTTCAAAGTATATTCAGATTATATTCAAAGAAATTAATTTTGCAATATGCATCCATTTTTTAAAAAAATATTTACACTGTTAAACAAGGTATAGACATTTCTAGGAATAAATTCAAAATCCAGAAAAACTGAAGCAATAAAAACCAATTTAAAAACACAGACGTAACTATAGTTTAATGATGCTGAAAAGAACAAAAACAACCTATGCCCACCAGCAGGTCAACAGTTAAGTACATTAAGGTGTGTATATCCACTTAGGCAAAAATAATATTTACTGATATTTGCTTGCCCACTACAACATGAGGTGTAGGAAATTTTAAAGTAATAAGAAAGGCAAAATAGGCTAACGTGTAACCATTTCAATAATGAAGGAATTCGATGAAATTAGGACACATGTATGACATGTCCATTGAATAAAGCTGTATCTAAAATTGAGCACACTTACCTAAAATAAAACATGCCAAAAAGGTTAATAGTGCTTGCTTCCAAGATATACTTTTATAAGTTTATTTTTCCTTCCTTTATAGTATCTGAACTTTCACAGTTCATTAAATAAATATTACAACTTTCCTTCAGAGGTATTAATCCAAATGTTTAAGAACTGTAAACCTACTACAATGGTCCCAGTTTACCTGTTGCAATAATAAACTGCATTATTGGGATCCAGTTCTATTGCCTGTGTATAACAATCCACTGCAGCAGCATAATTTTCTTCTTTCATGTGGTTATTGCCTAAAATAAAATATAGATAAAATAAGTACAATATATAGAAAAAATATAAAGTCTGATAGATAATTATTAGTCATAGAAATTATACTAATGGGCCAAATAGCTCAGCAGATTAAAGCGCCTGTAATTAATTGTTTAGGCAGATGCGGCAGGTGTGCCGGCCCCACCCTCAGGGCCTGCTGAGACGGGGATATTGAGACTGGGTGTGGTGGCACATGCGCCTGTAATCCCAGCTCTTGGGAGGCTGAACACAGGTTGATCACTATGAGTCCAGTGTACACAGTGAGACCCTGCAGACCCTGTACTAAACACACACACACAAAAAAATTACACTAATAAGGTCAGCCACATGATTTTTCAGTCACATTACATATAAATTTCATAATGTACTACACAGCTAATGCTCCTAACTATTGTTCTGTCACCTTAGTAATGCAGGTTTTTAAAAATTAATGTGTGTACCTTACAGAATTCAAGCTAGTGTGAGTAAATACAGCCATTATGACTATTTCACATCCTTTGTCCTTATGTTCTCTCTGCGCCTCTTAAAGCCACCTCCCCGTTTCTTCCTACTCATGATCTCACCTGGGACCTAACCTTCACTCCTGCTCTCACAATACCCGCACTTGCTGCTTAGCCAAGCTCTCAGGATGCCACTGAGAGTAATCTTGCCAATACATTTCTGGCAGGTAACACTTTTATGTGCTCTCCCGGCCAGAGACAGAATCTTTTCAAAATAGGATTTGGAGCAAATAATTTCTAGACAGATACAATTTCAGCCTACAGAGTCAAGACTTTTAGGAAGGCCATGGACAGATACATCTGGCAGTAATTTAGCTGGGTTAACAACTGGTCAGTTGAGGGATTTCCTGTGCCTGTATCTTGTTTTTCATTAATGGGGAAAAAGTATTCTGTGAATCTGTAAGATCCAACGTCAAAAGTAGAATTATCAGAACAATTGGAGTTATTGGGGAAGGATTTACATTTCAGAGGTCTGTATGATTCCTTCTACCTTTCTGTAAACCAGAAGCTCTCATCTTACCCTTAATCTTACTAGATAATTAGCTAGTTAATGGAAGATGGTGAAACATAAACACGCAGGGATTAGAAACAGGAACAAGTAAATTAAAAGACAAGAAAATAAAAACAGTCCAAAATCATACAAAAGTCATTGTAAACCAGAAACTGAAATGAATATAGAGGACAACTAAAAGGGTTAATTTCTTTAGGAGTGATAAAAATGTTTATGCTCAATTTTGGTGACCACATGACTTTGAATATACTAGAAACCAATGAATTATATACACTATAAGGAACTAAATATGGCTTGATATGATGGCACAGCCTGTAATCTCAGCACTGAGGAAGCTGAGGCAGGAGGATCAATGTGAGTTTGAGGTGAGTGTGGCAACACAGTGAGTTCAAGGCCAGTCTGAACTACACAGCAAAAACTGTTTCAAAAAGCAAGTAAATGTAATGTATGTGAATTGTATCTCAATAATTCTATCTTCTTAAAAAAAAGTTAACTTGTATCCTCTTTCCCAAAAACACGCATAGAAAATCTTCTCCATACAAGGAATGTAAACAATATGTACTACAAACATGTACCCCACCCTACCCCCCCAAAAAGGAAAGGAGGATCAAGAGATAGTCGGGGGGATAAGCAGATGAGAAAGGAATTAAAATGTGTTATGGACATGGACCAATTTGTCACAAGTAATGTAAACATGTATGACACACATGCACTAATAAACAATTTTTTTAAACTTTCTAAAAAAGCTAAGAGGATATCACAGTATTTTGTTTGCAATAATTGTGGTGGAATTTAGAATGTTCATACTGAACTACATTCCCAGCCTGCTTGTTTGTTTATGACAGGGTCATTGAGCTTCCCAGGCTGGGTTTAAACTTCTGATCCTCTGCCCGAACCTCCCAGTGTGCTGGGATTTACAGACATGCACTACCACATCCAGTTTGAGAACAGATTTTTTTTTTAATGCCCCTATAGATTTCAATAAATTTCCATGGATGGTGGCACACCCTTGTGATCCCAGCACTTCGAGAGGCTGAGGCAGGATGATGCCCTTAAGTTTGAGAGCAACCTCGGCTACACAGAAAGTTCAAGGCCTGCCTCTCTGTGTAGCTGAATAATTCATAATAAATAGGCATCAATGAAAAATCAGAAGATAGTATAAATAGTATAAAAAGCTGTTTACAGAATAGCAAAACTGTAACAAAAAGAGAAAAAGGAAATTACAATACACATAAGTGAATCATATAGAATCCCAAATTGTCATGATCAGAAAAAAACTACATCAACACAAAATAGTCAAGACTTAAAAAATTCAACACAAGAAAAGAATATTAAACACAGTGATACAAAAGAAACTAATCACTTATAAAGAAATCTTATCAAAATTACAACAGATGGGGCCAGGGAGATGGCTCAGTAGAATAAATGCTTCCCTAGGAAGCACAAAGGCCTGAGTTCAATCCCTGGTTCCACAAAAAAAAAAAAAAAAAAAAAATTACAACAGACTTAACACAAACATTAAAGTCAAGAAGATGTTAAAGTGTTTCATGCCCTAAAAGAAAAGAATTTCTAACCCAAATTGATGTATACCATAAACTTATCTCTCTAAAGTGATGGAGAAATAAGACACTTCCATGATAAAGAGCACTTAAAGAAACAAAAGACCACCAAACCAGTGCTCCAAAAGATTCTCAAAGATAGCCTAGGAAGACACATTGAAGATAACAGTACTAAAAAGACCAGTAGAACGAATCACCAGGCAAGTCAAGCAATTTTTGTAATAATCTTTTTTTTTTTTTTTTTTTTTTTTTTTTTTTTTTGTCATACCAGGGATCAAACTCAGGACCTTTCACTTGCCAGGCAGGCACTTAACGCTGTGCTGAGCTATTTCCCCAACAAGTCAAACAATTAAATAGAAGGGAAAGAAGGAATGAACAGCGGGACAATAAAATAATGAAAAGAATAAGGCAATACATATCAATTAAAATCATCAATGTGAATGGTCTTGATTCACCAATCAAGAGAAACAGACTGGCAGAATGGATCAAGAAACGAAATCCAACATGAACATGATGCATACAATTTAGACACATTTAAAAAAGAAATTCATGCCGGAAAAATGGCTATATTCAAGAAATCAGTCAATAACAAATGTTGGTGGGAGAAAAAGGAGCCTTTCTCTACTGTTGGTGAGTATATAAATTGGTATAACCACTATGGAAATCAGTGTGGCGAATCCTCAAAAAACTGAAACTAGAGCTTCTATTTGACCTAGCTATTCCCCTTCTCAGTATCTTCTTGAGAGAGCTAAACACAGTGATACATGCATACCCATATTTACAGCAGCACAAATTTACAACAGCTAAATCTTGGAAACAGCCCATATGACCATCATAATCTAAAGAAAATGTGGCACTTATATACAATGAAGTACTACTCTGCCATAAATAAGGATAAATTTGAGGCATTTTTAGATACATGCATGCACCTTGAGACCACAATCCTAAGTAAAAGGAATCAGACACACAAGTATAAATATTTCATTGTTTTTCTTGTATAAGAAACCTAAAGTGGGTTCAATCCTCAGCACCACATGCTGCACCGGCCTCACCCCAGGGTACAATGAACTGGCCAGTTAGACCAGGCAGGCATGGTGGCGCACATCTATAATCCAAGCTCTGGGGAGACTGAACACAGGAGGATCACTATGAGTCTGAGCTGCATAGTAGCTGCATAGTACCAAACACATTAAAAAAATTATTTCTGAAAAAAAGAAACCAAGGAGCCGGGGAGATCGCTCAATAGAATAAGAGCTTGCCTGGCAAGCACAAGGTCCTGAGTTCAATCCCTGGTACCACCAAAAAAAAAAAAAGAAAAAGAAAAAGGAAAAGGAGAAGGAGAAGGAAGAGAAGAACAAAGAGGAGAAGGATGAGGAGGAAGAGGAGAAGGAGGAGGAGGAGGAGGAGGAGGAAGAGGAAGAGGAAGAGAAGGAGGAGAAGAAACCAGAAGTATAAATAAAGATAAAATGGAGGATATTAGAAAGTAGGAAGATCTTGTTCAAATAGGAAGAGGGACAGGAGACACAGAGAAAGAGTAGGAAGAAAGGAAAAAGGGCTTTAAAAAAATGTAAATAGAGCTGCTATAAACAGGAAAGGGAAAAAGGGTTGAAGGGAGGGAAGTGGAAGGGAATCAAAAAATAAATAAAGATGTGCTATATACCTGTATAAATCCTCCATTATGAATGCCATTATATACTGCAAACATGTACCAATAAAGTTATTAAACTTTATTGTATATCTTGTCCTGTAAACTATTTCAAATATACAGATACTGTAATATATATTAGAAAATATGTATACAACAATGTAATTTAATTATACAAAGTTTCAGGTCAGAAAATACTCAATATAAAATATTTGAGACAGGGCTGGAGAGATAGCTCAGCAGCATAAGCACAAGGTCCTGGTTTGATCTCAGGTGAAGAAAAAAAGAGACAGATGAATTTGTGAGGGCATAAATGTAACAATGAGGCATTTGTACAATGCTTTACAAATATAGGGTATTCTCCTACAAAACTGTCTTCTTTAATTCTCACAGCCCCATGAGATACTCATATACCCAAACTTCTGTGATCTGGCAGGGATAGCAAGAAACCCTTCCTGATTTTTTCTGATCCTACTGCACCTTTTCAGAAGCCAAGCACGTGAAATATTTTAAGGTAATGTTCCTTGGAGGTCTAGTTCCCTAGAATCCTTAATTAACACAGTCAGATAAGTATAACATGTAACTTGGAATACCCACATGCTTGATAGTTTACCATGGCCATTTGTTTTCAGCCAAATAGCAAAATTCAGCTAAAATGGCAATCATTTCTACTTTACATGCTATATGTCTGAGAGGTGACATTTCCTAGAGAAATAAAAGCTGTTCACTAAAAGCTAGTAATTCAGTAGACCCATGCTGCCATATTAAATGAATTTCACCCTACACATCCCCCAAACTGTCAGCTTACTAACATTTATTATGTTTTGTTTAAAAAAAAAAAAACCTTCTATAAGGAATACAATTTCTCAAATGTTCTGCTGCATTTATGCAGAGGGAGCTGAGGGGCAGAAATAAAATTTAACTTGCCATTTATTCAACATTATTACTAGAACTATACCAAGCTACAAACATAAAATGCTAGTAGAAAATATGTATTTTTTTAATTGAGAAACAAACAGCAATAAGACAGTTTCACAAATGATTAATAAGACAGTTTCAATAATTAATACATCGTATATTGTTATCTTCTTAGTGGTTATCCACTGTACAAGATGCAGACAGGATATCCTGTCCAAACACTGTTAGTACAAATCTTTCTTCTCATTGAATTAAGCCAAAGTAGCTGTATATCTATCCTAACTATTCTGCATATACAGATACAAAATGGTCCTTCCTTTGTATCCCCTTTTTTTGTTTAGTCCTATCAGAAATGGGTATTCCATTGGCATCTAAATACTATAGGTGCATGAATTCAGCAAAACAATCCAACACAGTCCAGCAGTCCACAGTAGTAATGGGTTATCCACAGAAGTTGTTGACTTGAGCCTTTCATAGCTCAGCATATTAATATGGCTTTACCTTATATACCTCACTTTTATACTTTTCTGCTGGATGGTTAAGACCAAGATAAAGCAAGATCTACATAACGAAAAATGTAACTTCTGTATCTGATAAGGTCAGTCAAGTACACTCAGGATTTATCCTGTAACCCTGTACTGCAGGTTGCAGATCCTTTGTGTCAGCCATGTGGATGAGTCACGGCCATTGCTTGGCCAATGTGCTCCCCATGAAAGCCTAAGAGAATGTTTTCTCTCCAGGTGACTTCTCCTTAGGCACACTCTACCTCATCGATCACGTTGCTCCGTGGCCCCATAATCTCCTTGACCAGAAAATTTGGGACACAATTGAGTTACATGATGTTCCAGTATAGGTTCTCCTATGTCCTGAGTCTTCACTGACCTTGAAAGGCTATGGTCAAAATGCTAGCTATCCTTGCAGCCCTTGTTTTTCTCTAATTTTTGGTCTGCAAACTTAGGTTGTTAGCCCTCCAGAAGAAAAGCTTACTAATATTACCCTACAACATAAGCAGTTGAGCTTAACCTCACTATCTGTCTGAATATCAAACATCTTAGGCATAACATGGAACAGGTATTTTCCATCAAGTGTTGATATGTTATACATTAAGTCCCTACAGAACATGGAGATAAAAATTTTACAAATGAAAAATACTTAAAGAATAGGAATAAACAATTACATATTTTTTACACCAAAATTTAGAAATCTAACCATACACAGCATTGTAGCAGGACAGTCCTGTGACTTTTTTTTTCTTTTTCTTGTGTCTTTTTTTCATTTATTACCCATTTAAAAAAAAAAAAAAACTTTTACTAGTGAGACAGTATGGTAATAATTGGTATGTCATGACAAGCAGTATGTATTTAGAAGACCATAATGACAGGCACTCCAAGCATGACCCTTCTATTTCACATTGCTATGTTCAGTGCAGTTGCTTGGTTCACAGGTATCAGCACATAGTCAGGGTAAGAATCCTACCAATTAACTGCTAGTTTCAAAAACCTGCTGAAGATTCTCAGGATCATTGCCTTGCTCGTCTTGTGCAAATAAATGTATGGCTTTGTCCCTGTGCTATTTCCCAGCTTTTCTCCTTGCCCTCTCCTCATTGTTTAATCCTCAAGTTCTCGCTTTCCTTTTAATTGTGTTATACCTTTCTATTTGTATTCTTTTGAGTTCTTATACTAGAGAGACTATACGAAATTTACACATGTGGGTCTGGTTTATTTCCCTTATAAGTATATCTTCAAGTGGCATCGACTTAAACATAAAGGCTTCGAGTTTATCACTTTTTATAGCTGAGAAATACTCCATCGTATAAAAATACCACATCTTTTTCAACCATTCCTCATGTGACAGGCATTTTGGTTGTTTTCAAGATTTGGCTATCACAAATTGTGCTGCTACAAACATAGGTACACATATATCACTATGATATGATGTTTTCAGATCCTCTGGGAAAATTCCCAGTAGGGGGATAGCTGGTTTGAATGGGATCTCCAATCCTAGTTTCTTAAGGAATCTCCACACCGATTTCCATAAAGGGTGCAGTACTCTACATTCCCACCAGCAGTGGAAAAGGGTTCCTTTTTCCCCACAGCCTCTCCAATATTTGTTGTTGGTTGATTTCTTTATGATAGTCATTCTTTGAAGTGTGAGATTGTTATCTCAGTGTTGTTTTAATTTGCATTTCACGGATGGCTAGTGACGTGGAGCATTTTTCATATATTTATTCACTTCTTTAATTTCGTCATCTGAGAAGTGTGTGTTCATCTCGGATGCCCAATTCTGGATTAGGTCTTTAAATTTAGTGGCCCTAATGTATTTTAGTTCTTTATAAATTCTAGAGAGACGACCTTTGTCTGAGTGCTTATTAGTTAAGATTTTTTCAAAATTTGTAGGTTGTCTTTTCACTTTCTTGGTAATTTCTTTTGATGTGCAAAAACTTCTCAATAAGAGTTGGTCCCAGTTGTTAATTCTTTCAAGTATCACCCATGTGATTTGATTTTTGTTCATGAACTCGTTGCCTACCCCTGTATCTTCAAGAGATCCTCCTACTTTCTTGTCTAGGAGATTTAGTGTTTCTGTTTTAATGCATAGATCTTTACTCCATTTTGACTTTAGCTTAGTGTATGGTGATAGACTTGGGTCAAGTTTTAGTTTTCGGCATGTAGAAAGCCAGTATTACTTACTAGAAAATATAGTAGTAAACATAATTCTTGTAGAAAATATATTGTTTATATTTTACTTATACATTAGTTAAGATGTAACATACTACAAAAAATCTGAGTAGGGAAAAAAGAAACTAATACATTAAAAAATACATTAGCATCTGTGTAGATCAAATTCAGATTCTTTCTGGAATCATATAACTTAAACAACAATGGAGATCTTGTTGTTCTATTTTACTTACATTCTATAAAGTCATATTACCCTAAGATTTTTAGGACACTGGTGATACTATTTTTTACAAGTAAGAAATTGAAAACTGAGACAAATATATTTGGTGAAAACAGCATTGTAAAATTACTTTATAAAAAGTAATCTTAAGATAATAAAGAAAGTAAAGAAGGAAATAAAAAGGCATAGAAGGCAGTATTACTTGAGATTACAGAACTGTCTTTTAGGAAGTTTAGATTACCACAGCCACTACAAACACTAATACAGATCTCAGGATAAATCCTGAGGGGATTTGACTGACCTTATCAGACCCAAAAGTTACAACTCTTGTTGCATAGGTCCTGCTTTACCTTGGTATTAACCATCCAGCAGAAAAGTATAAAAACAAAGTATAAGAAGTAAAGCCATGTTGTTATGTTGAGCTGTAGGGGACTCAGGTCAACAATTTCTGACACTGCCAGTCAAGCGGAAGACCCAATACTATTATGGACTACTGGACTCTTTTAGAATATTTTGCTGAGTTTACACACCTATAATATTCAAAGAACGGAACTTAACAAAAAAAGGGGATACAGATGAATGTCCATTTTGTATCTGTGTATTCAAAGTGGTTAGGGTAGATATATAGTTACTTCTTTTAATGAATAGAGAGATTTGTTTTAATGGTGTTTGTAAATAGGGTATCATGTCCGCATCTTGTACAGCAATTAACCACTAGGAGGAATGTATGCAATGTGTTAATTATTGAAACTGTCCTACCAATTTGATTTGAAACTATCTCATTGCTATTTGTTTCTCAATAAAACTACGAAAAAAAAATACTAATACAAATGTACAACTGGAGACCTAGGGAAATGAGCACGTACAATGAATAAGATAAGCATAGTCTTTCCCATATCTACCCCTTTAAACGCCAAATAATTTTTTTTCTAAAAAACAACTCAGGGCCAGTAAGATGGCTCAGGAAGTTCAATCCCCAGTTCCACCAAAAAAAAAAAGCAACTCAACTGCTTTCATCAGAAAATTACCAGAAGATGGATCTATGAATAGATTCTGAATATAGCACATTTCCTAATCATCCCCTGCTTATACACAGGCCAAAAAAATTGTTTGCCTTCTTTCACTGCAAAGGATAAAGGACTATGCCCCACAGTCTCTTAACACAAATCTTACAGGCATAACATTGTTCCCCAGAGATTAATCTAAATGGCATATTGGGAAAATCGAACACAAAGCCCTAACACTGAATTACTTATTAAATCAAGAATATTTCAATAGTCAGATATTAGAAACTTCAGTAATGCTTGAATCAAATGTATTAACTAATAAAACAAGTCAAATGCTATATGCATGTATTAATAAACTCCAAAAACATAAAAACACTTAAAGATAACACTGACCATTATTTTTCTCTCTTTGATTAAGCATAAAGAATTTAGGATACTAGAATAAAAGTCACAAATGTAGTTAAAAGCAAACAGCCCTTAAGTGATTTGCTCTGAAAGTTTTATGAGAAATCTGCCTCTCTCAACACAAGCAATACCCATTTCCAGGCCTCTCATCCATCACATTCACTTTGGATTCCCAACTGCCATGTAGACATATGACAATTCAACTGCGGCAGCGTAAACTACACTCATATCAACTCATACTCATGCTCTCCAGTTTTCAAAAGCTATACTAAATAACTAATTTCTGCGTGAAATACTTACCTTCATCTTTTAATTGGTCAGCTTTTCCTACATCTTCGGGCACTAAGTTTGAGAGTGGCGAAATGTCATTCTAAAATTAAATAAAAATAAACTTCAATTGAGCTGCACAGTCATCTCAGAACTCTAAAAATAAAGTAATAATAACTTATCCACATCTGTAATTTCGTTTCATGAAGTCAAACACCTAAAGAATAGAGTTACTAGGAAACAGCAGTGGGGGAGTATTCTCCAATGCTTTTGTTAGAAATATAAATATAACATTTTTCTAGATAATCATAGGCAACTGTGAATTAAATTTTTAAAATTTGTTTTCCTTATACTCAGAAATGCCACTTTATGAGCAAGGAAATGGAATTTAAATATAAATTACAGAATAAAAATATAATTACTGGATTACTTTCTTGGTAGTATTGGGGAATGAACACTATACTGAATGTAGAGCTACAACCTTTGATACAAGGTCTCACTAAGTTTCCAGGTAGGCCTCAGATTTTCAATCTTCTTAAGGCCTTAGCCTCCCCACTAGACAGAATTACAGGTTATTAGTGAAACTGGTGAAGCAAAATATTTACTATTTAAGAGGTAAACTAATTAAAAATCAGTTTACTAAAAAAAAAAGCATTTATAATATGGCCATTATTTATGTGTGTGCATGTACACACACACACACACACACACACACACACACACACTTAAAAACAAAACTGGAAAGGTATATACCAAAAGATTAACAGTAGTAATGTTTGGAAGTAAAACCCTCAGCTTTTCTATGTATATTACATAAAA